CTTGGTTGTACAGCGCTGGGTATGGGGGGGGGCTGGAGCTGTCCCCCTCTGCTGAGTCATCTGGGTCCGAGGCTCCGCCCTCCTCTCCTGATAGGCTGAGGTGGTCCGCTGTGTTTTCCTCCTCGCCACTGAGGTCCCCGAGGGAACCTGTGAAAGGAAGATGAGGGGAAATGGGATGTTAGAAGAAATACTATAAATATTGCCATGAATATATCAATATTTGGATGCTTAAAATACATATTTTAAGCAGTTGTATTAGAAATATTTATCACAAATAATCAGAGTAGCAAAGTAGATAAGAGCTGCATTAGAATGTACAATGAATGACATCAGGTGGTCTCAATCGAAAATGACACTTAAGACATAACATAGTTTCTATGTGTGGAGCAGAAGGATTTCAGTCTGAGCAGCCTGGTGCAGAGAGGTGAAGGGAGATTGTTAAACAAGCTGCTTGTGATTGTTTGCACTGTTGAAGGGAGGAAAAACATACTAAACACACTGATCCATTTTTTAACTGGACTCAATTTAAAACACAGTATAAAGAATTGGACAAACTGAACGCTCTAATCCAGAAGATTAATAGCAAGAAGCCAAGGGGGACCTTAAAGCCAAATTACAGTATACCTCAAATTGTAGCTAAAAGAGTGATTAGTGCAGGGCTGATCTGTATCAATTACAGTTTCATAATCCCTGCTGACCATAGTAATTATACACTACTTTTGATCTATTTTAGCCTGTTTGAAGATTACATTTTTTTTTTTAAACGAGTCTTTTAATTTGACTTTTTATAAATTGCTTCATTAATAATACTCCTTATATAAGAGGAATGCACCAGGCTGCATGAATGGTGCCTTAGCAGCTCCAACCCCTGAGATATATGGTGGCTTATTGGATACACATATTGACTGTTGTTCTGGATCTAAAGACGTGTTGTAGTTATTAGTCTTTCAATAAAAAGGCAATTCCTATTATGTTCATTTGGATCGGATGACATGCTTCATCCTCCGCTCCCGAGAGGACACCATGATAGAATTCTTCATTCAGGGTAACCATTTATTTAAGAGGATTAGGAAGTGCTCGAGTGAAGCATAAATGGTTAATCACTGCCGAGGGACAAAACAACTCTCACGCACAGTGATGGAAGGTGTGCACATGCTTTTGAATGACTATATCAGAGGGAAATTCAAACAAAGAGAAATCCAGGATTTCTTTTTAAATAATGTCCCGCCTCTTTGCTTGAATTCAGACAGGATGTAAATTAATTTCCATTAGGTTGTGCTGAACTAACACAGGGATTGTTTCGGAGCTAAAGCCGTGACTGGGGGCGTATATATTTACAATACTGGGACAAAAGGAGTCTATAATCTATACAAAGCACACAACAATACCCATGAATAAAGAAGCTTGTAGAGAAAGGGAGAGGCAATTTTTCTAATTCTGTTAATTTCACTTCCAAAGCAATTAAAAGCAGGCAGAGATAATGCTGGGAAACAATCGCCGACTGACAAAGTGTTTCTGTCTTTGTAAATGAAACATCTTTAGGCTAATTTCAACTTCCACGCCTGCATGGTTCACTCTAATTTCAGATAAAATTAACACAGCTAGATTTGGACCTTCAAAAAAAGTAGAGGAGAAAGAAAAAAGATCGATCCTGTACACAATATTTTTTGAATTAGGTCTATGTCGCACAAGCTTTGCTAGATCTAATTTTCGGTATCTATAAGGACATTTTCATACAATTAATTTTCCTTTAATCACAATTGTACAAAGGGGCTTCTCTGTCCAATTATATTTCCTGTTTAAAATGTAAGTTTGAATTATGATTTCTTTCCTCATTACGGCTGTGGTTTAATGAATCAATCGCTGCATCACCGCTTTCAGACATGAAATGGTGCGGAAAAGTTTCAGCTGCCCTTTCTGCCTCTTTTATCCAAGGAGAAATATCCTCCCTTTCCCCCGTCCTTCCTGTCTCGGAGAGCTGGCAGGGAGGATAGCGGTGCCGGGGTGATAAGTGCGGAACATTCTACTTCATTTGCCAGTTTAAAAGTTAAAGCCTTAATAATTGTTACAGCCTGATATTCACAGGAACATTGGACTGAGCTCATTGAAGAGATGGAGAAGTCATAAAGAGACACGTGTATCACTGTGGAAAGACATCGTTCAGCTCGGACAGCTCCCATCTGAGGATCCTGTCAAAGAAAAAAGCCTCAAGCTGACATTGACTCATATTTCCAAAAATGAAATAAAACTTCAGAAATGGAGAAATGCTGTAAATACTTCACATCAGGACAGTGTGGACCTAGAGACACTGTGTTTATTTGGACTGCTTGAGATGATCCATACATTTCTAGAACACATTTCTCCTTGTTAGCAGTATACCAACTGAGGTTCACGGAAGAGCTTAGAGTATGCACTACATGTATTCTAGAAGTTAAAAGGAGATCTGACCACAAAGAGGCACTGCAGGGAGTCAAACACAGCTCACCTCCACTGGAAAACAAAATCACTTTGAGACGGTGTTTAAAGGTGGGGTAGGTAATTTTGGAGAAACCAGCTCGAGTGCGCTAGAATTTGAAAATACACAACCGGAAGAAATGTGCCACTTCCTTACAGAGCCCCTCCTCCAACACACACGAACGCGCACATGACCAATGAGGGCACGAGATAAGTTTGTAGGCCATCCAGTTATTTTAGCCGGGCCGGCTCAGATGATTGGTCGTGCTTTTTACAGTACTACGGCTTAAGAGCATTCCATGGAATATAACAAGTGTTTCTGAAATAAATGACATACCACCACCTTTAACTAATTGTGCAACAATTAACTTTTAATAATTCGTTAATATATCAATCGTGTTTTTTTCTATTCATTTACTTTTATACAAAATGTGAAAATAAATAATACAAATGCACATCTTGAGTTAAAGATTATGGATTATGATTTGTTCTGAGTGTTTTTCACGGTCTGATAACTCAACATTAAGAACACGGCAGTATGTGAGGATAAATGCAACAGCCACATTTTGTTTGATTTTTTAAATATATTTACATTCAAATGCCAATTTCGAGAGTCAAAAAGATAATGATAGTTTTACTGGATGCATGTCGTGAAACAATTCATTGATTATAAATGGATTTTAAATCAAGAACAGAAATAGTTTATTAATGCAATACTAATCAATACACTTTTAAGCTTAAATATCTAAAGTTTTGAACTGTGCATCTGACAGAACTAAACTGCTGATCATCTTGTGCATTAGCAATTTGTGATGGCTGTCTTTATCTATTTTTGACACTTGAACAGACCACAGATGAAGCTATTAATGTATTGCTAAAAGTCACCATAGCAGCCCTAATGGACAGTTGGTTATTACGTTGATATTGATTATTCAATCAATTGATATTGTGGTCTCTTTGTGGAAAAGGTTAAATGTATGTTGGACACGAGCCCATATGTAGGTGCTGTCTTCCTTGATCTCAGGAAGGCTTTTGACACTGTTGACCACCAAGTGCTCCTTACAAAGCTGACGTATTTACATTTTTCTGCAGATTCAATACAGTGGGTTAAGTCTTACTTATCAAACAGAAAACAGTGTGTTTTGGTCTGAGCCAAATCCCCCTACCTTGTGAACCCTGTTGGGGTTCCACAAGGTTCCATTCTTGGACCATTACTGTTTTCTCTGTACATTAATGACTTGCCTAAAACTTGACTTTTAAGAAACATATTAAGAAAGTATCCAACACCGTTAAATTCAACTTGCAACATTTTAAACAAATTAGACCTTTCTTAACTGTCAATGCTGCAAAGTCATACCTCCACTGTCTGATTCTATCCCACATTGAATACTGTTTTACAAACTGGTCGTTTGCTTGTGCCACAAACCTTAAACCCATAGAACAGCTGTACAAGAGAGCTATCAAGGTGTTTGACAGAAAGCCTTATTCATATCACCACTGTACCATCCTTGATAAACACAATTTCTTGAGTTTTGACCATTTGAAGTCTTTTAAAAGTATGTGTTTTATTTATAAATGTTTACATGGACTGCCCCCCCCCCCCCCCCCCCCTTCCTTAGGGGAATTCATCCACAAAAAACACACTGGACGCTGCACTAGGTCAGAAACCAGAGGAGACTGTGAAGTCCACCGCAGACGGACCACCTTTGGACAAAATGTCCTCTTAAAGGCAGCTCTTTGTGGAACAGCCTCCCAACTGAGATACGGGATTGTTTCACTCTCAATAGTTTTAAAGGACAACTCAAAGAATGGTTGAGAAACAAACAGACTCACCGCTAACTGCCCTTTAACACAGGGGCATCTCCTCTAGCACTTTAGGTAGCTCTTGTATCCTCTCTTGCACTTTATATGTCGTAGCTGCTATATTGTATTACCATGTCATAAATACTTGTGTGCTGCTCTTGCTCTTCCTGCAGATCAAGTATTTATTTGTTGCTATGTTTGCAAATGTCATGTTCTTATATGTTGTATGTCAGGGACTACGGATGGAAACTAGCTCAAAGCTAAAATCCGGCATGTTTACACTTGAAGCATTATTTGTCTAAAGTGTTCATTAAAGTGCATTGTCCCTGTTCAAATAAACGATGAAATGAAATGAAAATGAAATCATGAACGTAGGGGAAGTAGGTGAGTCAGGGGAATGCAGTTTGAAAAGGATTAGTCTTGAAATCAATCGTAAAAAGATGTGAAGGATGGTACAGCACAGAGGAGAGGAGAGGAGGACAGAGGAGAGAGGGAGAGAGGAGGAGAGGAGGAGAGAGGAGAGGAGGAGAGGAGGACAGAGGAGAGGAGAGGAGAGGGGGAGACGAGGACAGAAGACGACAGAGGAGAGGAGAGGATGACAGAGGAGAGGAGAGAGAGGAGGACAGAGGAGAGGAGAGGAGGAGAGAGGAGAGGAGGAGAGAGGAGGACAGAGGAGAGGGGAGAGAGGAGGAGAGGAGGAGAGGAGGAGAGAGGAAGACAGAGGAGATGTGGGAGGAGAGGAGGAGAGAGGAGGACAGAGGAGAGGAGGACAGAGGAGAGGAGAGAGGAGAGGAGGAGAGGAGGACAGAGGAGAGGAGGACAGAGGAGAGGAGGACAGAGGAGAGGAGAGAGAGGAGGACAGAGGAGGGAGGAGAGGAGAACAGAGGAGA